CAGAGGCCCCAAAAACTGGATTATCCAGTAGAAAACCAGACACCTGGCAATCCTAAATGTCATATCCAGAGTTACTTGTTGGAGTCAAAATCATGGCTACCTGTCACAGTGAAGTGCACCTCTTTTCCCTTTGTGATTTCTCAGGGTGTACCCATTCAGGTGTTAGGCCTACTGCCTTTGCCTGTCAAGTGGAATTTTGCAATTCTCCCATGCTTATTCTGGGAACTGAGGCCTGTGCACCCAACATTATTACCTTGCAGGTCCATCTCTCTCCCTCTCTCTCTGGGGGACCTGGCATTGGCCACTGTTTGAAGACAGGATACCGTTATGACTCTTATGTAACTGAGTGTAGGCACTTTCGGGAATCTGTGACCAGTGACTGGACAGCTGTCTTCAAAACAGAAGTACTGACTATTTAAGTAGTAGGCCCAAAGCTTGAGAGGTAGGGATGTTAGATACAGTGTAATTGAATAGCCACATGAAATCTTAGCAGTTACAAGACTGTTCAATAGTCCCGGGGGCAGGGCTGACAGCCAGTACACTCTGGAATGTACTGCTAAATGTACCGCTAAATGTAATGGATTTCCACTCCATGATTTCCACTCCAGTGAGCCCTCTGCCACCCTGCGCCTCTGCTGATAGAGGCAGCAGTGCAGGGTGGCACCATCCTCTGTCCGTGGGGATCCAAACTCCCCCTGGACAAAGGCTGCTGCAGCCCCTGTCTTTGGGGGGGTCCGAACTCCCCGAGGACAGAGGCTGGGGCAGCTTCTTTGCACAGCAACCTCAGGCATGCTACCGACAAAGGCTGGTCTGGCAGCAGTCCTTGTCCATGGAGGATCCGGGCTCCCTGCGGACAGAGACTGGAGCAGCCCCATCCAAGGAGAGTTCGGACACCTCACAAACAGGGGTTGCTGCTGTGGACCAGCCTCTGTCCATGGCCAGCCCAAGCTGCCTCCCTCCCCACTGCTGCTTCTGATAGAGTTAGCAGCGAGGGGGGGGGAGCAGGTGGCACCGTGGAGCTGGTGCTGGGGGGAAAACTAGCTTTTAAGCTGGCTCCCCCCCAGCACCAGCTCTGCCCCCCCCGCTGCCTCTGTAGGAGGCAGCATGAGTGGAGGACAGAAGAGTCTGCAGAGCCAGCACACGCAGGGAACCTGCTTGAAAGCCGGCTCCCCACATGTACTGGCTTGTGCCAGCCCCCATCACCCTCTGGCTGCTGCCTCTGATACAGAGGCAACAAGGGGGCGAGTGGGTGTAGTCAATAAGATTGACAGATAAGCCCAGCATGGACTACACGCTGACATCCCTAATGGGGGGGGGGGGAGGAAGGGAAGGACTTAAAATTGACATTCAACACATATCCATTTCACACATATCAACACATATCCATTTAATCAATGAAGAGGGGAAACAACAGAAAATGTGGAAATGGCAGAGGTGCTTAATATCTTCTTTGCTTTGGTTTTCAGCAAGAAGGTGGTGATAATTGGAGACCTAACATAGGTGAAAATGGGGTTCAGAAGCTAAAATAGGAAAAGAAAAATGTTAAAAATTACTTAAATGAATTAGATGTCTTCAAGCCACCAGAGCCTGATGAAATGCATCCTAGAATACTTAAGGAACTGACTGAGGAGATATCTGAACCATTAGTTCTCATCTTCGAAAACTTATGGAATATGGGAGAGATTTTAAAAGACTAGAAAAGGGCAAATAAAGTGCCTAGCTCTAATAAAGGAAATAAGGACAACCCTCAGAATTATACACCTGTCAGGTTAACTTCTGTACCAGAAAAGATAATGGAACAAATAATTAAGGAATCCATTTTAAGGGGGAAGTAGTAGATGTGGTAAACCTAGATTTTAGTAAGGTATTTAATACAGTCTTCCATGACCTTCTCATTTACAAACTAGAGAAATACAACCTAGATGGAGCTACTATTAGGGTTGCCAGATGGCTGAAAGAAAAATACCGAACTGCCCCTCCCCCCCCAAAAAAAACACTGGGAAAAAATTTTGTTGAAGGGGAAAAAAAAGGGGGAGAGGAGAAATTGTTGAGCAAAAAAAAAAAAAAACACACACACACACCCTGAACACGCTGCATTGGGGGAGGGGGGGCGCGGCCAGGAAGGGAGTGGTGCTGGCTGAGAAAGGGGGGGGGCCTGGAAA